CAACTAGTTCGAAAACCGACAGTCCCGGGGTATCTCAACGCCGGTGGCCGGCGTCTTGCGCGAGGGGTCGAGGAAGCCGGGGTTCATGGTCGCGTCACCACCGATCCTACAATATGGGGCTAAAAAGCCCAAGAAATAAGTTCCCTTAAAAATATTCGTTTCAATCCGATCTAATTTTTCGTAATCGATTAGTTAAGTTAACATGGTGGTTAACCGTATTATGAAAGATGAAAAAAATATCATTGACTTATCAAATTCTCTATACGGCAGTGAAACTAATTCAACAAAAGACAAACAAATCCACTATTGATTTTACGTCAAGCAATACTTAGAATAACTCCCACTATCGGCGCGACGCGTTCCGATTAAACCGTCAGTATCACGGGCGGGCGGCAAGCGCGCGCGCTTGACGGCCAGTGGGCTTCTTGCTGCTTTCGGCAAAGCGGATCGGCCGTGAGGTTTTATTCGGCTCTGCCGCACCACGGATCAAGGCGCGTAACTGCCGCACCAAGGTTGATGGCGCGGCAGGCCCTGCCTCGTCAGCGGTCAGCGATTCCGGTCGCCGCCACGTCAGACCTCTGCCGCGCCACCATGCATGGCGCGGCACAGGTATTTGACCACGCCAGGGTAATAGGCGCGTCCAAAAGTTTTAGTTTAAAAAACCCGACCGTGTTAGATTTAAAATTAGTTTTTAAAAAGTGTTAAAATTAAAAAAAATCCATTGTGTCAGCTCCTTTAGCCGTGCTATGTTGTGATAGCCCTGCAGGGTGAGGCATGGCCTAAGCACGGCACTACGGCCGTGCCATGCTGTGCAGTGTTTGTGTCGTGCTTTTTTTAGTCGAGCCCGTCTAGCCATCTATAGGCATTATCAAGATTTTTGTATCATGCCCTGAGTTCTCTAGCGTTTTTGCTCTCCATAACCATACATTATGAAGATCAAGCTCGCTCTTTCATTTCAAAACTCTATCCTATTTTCTAACAAATCCTTTTTAGTAGTTAAAAATTATGAAAGTCTATACACCAGTTAGGATTATTGGTTTTCCAACAATTTTATTTTTCAATCTTCAACTTGCATGTCAGTCCAATTTTTAAGGCTGAATTACGAAATCAGGTAAGACGCCTTCCAAATGTAAAAATTGGACTGGTTTCAAAGATGGTATTCTGTTTTTTTAAATAATAAAAATTAGGTCTATAATTTATATATATAATTGATAACTAATTTATTTAAAATTATAAAAAATATGAAACTAGTACCATTTTTTCTAAAAATGTTATCTATATATCAATTTTCTATTTGGATTTATTTGGATACTAAACAAATAAGATCGAAATAACTACAAATAAAGAACCAACATAGATAACATTTATAGAAAAATGGTATTGTATCATATTTTGCTGATTTCAAATAAAATAGTTACTTTTTAAAAATATTAAACAATATTTTTATTATTTTTAGAAGGGAAAAGTCCAAAATACTACTCTTATGTATGACCTATGTCCAGATAACCTCATAAACTATCGTTGATTCATTTTATTTCCTTCAATTATTTCAGTTGGTCTAGCTTACCCCTCAGCAATATTTGTCTATTTTGTTTCTACATATTCAAGTTGATTTTTAATTTTCAAAATTTATGAGGGGATAGCTAGCACCATAGTTTATGTTCAAATAATATGTCTTAAATTTATATCATTATTTTGACTGGTTAGGACATATAATATAAATTAACACTAGAAATACATAATTGTATTAAGCATAATGATAGAATTCATAATGTATTTTTAAAATAATGTATGGCATCCACTATCACCTAACATTTTGAAATTAAAATTCAACTTGTACGTAGATAAATGAAAAAGAAAAATCTTGTTAAAAGGTATGTTGGACTGACTAAAATAGTTAAGGGAGTAAAATAAATCAAATGTAGTTTTGAGGGTTATATGGACATAAGTGATATTTGGACGTAGTAATTTGAACCTTTTCCTTTTTAGAAATAGAAACGCACCTTTGAAACTAGTCAAATAACTAAATTTGTCCGGTTTGGGCATTTGGACGACGTTTGTTAATATGATACCATTTCGTAGTTTAGGGTTGGAAATCGAACTATCGTATAAATTGGAGGTTGAAAAATGAACCTAACCATAGAAATAATAATCTTCAAGTTCTTTTTCTTGTTCGTCTTCAAACTTGATCAAGGCCACATGTTGATTTATTCCAAACCTACTGGCTAGTGAACAAACAAGCACTGTGCTTGAGTACTTTGCAGCAGCAATAGGTTCAGGACTTGCGGTGCAGCATGGTCTCTTTATTTGCACGTCAAGTTTCAGCCATTCCTTGCTCAAGGAAAAAGTCTGAGCCATTCACTGGGAAGGTAGGTGAGACGACTGGCCAAATGCAAATGGGCATGCTACATATAACCGTAGGCTTGCTACCGTCAGAGAAACAGATACATGGTATCGGGTTACAGTCCAAACAAGAAATTCCAAGGCCGGTGAAAGATAAGGATATATATAGTAATATAGGTACAGTCACCAAGTCCTGCCATGACGCAAAAGCTTATAGAAATCAGATGGCATAAATACTATCCAGGGCCAATGGTTGGTGGGTCGAACGGACCAGGCCATCAGGTCATCGAGAAAGTTCTCATGCTCCATTTCTAGGCTAGCCTAGGGCTGGACCAGTCAGGCACGCAAGTCTCAATCGATTCATAAGAGGAGGAGGCCATGGAGGTAGCCAAGTAGAAGGCAGGCACCGCAAACAACGGTATGCATTGCAAGGAGGAAACATAACTTTCAGCCGTTGCTCTTACTTTCATTTCATATATGTTTCAGAAAGTTTGATCATCCCTCGTCCGTTTTTTTTAAAAGAAAGTTTGATCATCATTCTTGTTCAGAATCAAGTTCTTAGCTCTTAATGCATTTCGTATCTAGTTGCTAGAAAGCTGGTGAACAAGATAGTCAAGAGCTCATGGAAGATGGCAGTGCTCCAAGACGGTCTACTCCCCCCACCACCGGCAGAAGCAGATCTGCTGAGTTCCACAATTTTTCAGAAAGGGTAGGTTGTTATTGATCATGCATATATATGGACGGATCATGACCAGTTGTCGGCATTTGATCTCTTTTGTTTGGAACATTTGTAGAGGAGAAGGGATAGGATCAACGAGAAGCTGAAAGCATTACAGGAGCTTCTTCCAAACTGCACCAAGGTAACATGTGTTTCGTCTTAATTTTAATTCCACCATACCTCTTCTGCTGTCTTCTTTTTCGTTTGATCTCAGAATAGCTTGTTTCAGACCGACAAAGTTTCGATGCTAGATGAAGCGATCGACTACCTAAAGTCCCTTCAGCTACAGCTTCAGGTACTGAATGACATCATATCATATGCACAAGTTGGTTATTTTTCTTATCTTCCTCTCCTGCATCCTTTCCTGTTTTTATTTATTCAGCCTCCAGATCTTACGGGTGCTATAGTAGTATAGTCTGAAGATGTAAGCTGCCAATGCAATTCATCCATGGATATTCTGATCATCACATTGTCATATATGCACACAGATGCTGGTCATGGGGAAGGGAATGGCACCGGTGGTTCCTCCTGAGCTGCAGCAATACATGCATTACATCACGGCTGACCCTGCCCAGATGCCTCCGTTGCGCCCCTCCGGGCAGCAGCCCCGGCAATTTCAGATAACTCAAGCCAACCCCCAGCGACAATCTAACGTCGAGTCGGATTTCTTGAGCCAGATGCAGAACTTGCACCCTTCTGAGCCGCCTCAGAACTTCCTCAGGCCACCGAAACTGCAACTTTATACGCCGGTAAGAGGTTCAAACATTATGACTATCAAAGTTAATTTTAGCGTTTTCTTGTCTTTATTTTTTTGTTCTATTATTTCACGTATTTCAAAATTTAAGATTTTTTCTTTTTGGAAAGAAAGATGAAATTTTAAGCTGCTAGATCAGGGATATATAGTTCAGGTGCTAAAACTGTCAGCTTTTACCTGCACAGTGCTAGCTACTCATCATGCCTCATGAGGAGTTTACCTCTGATTCAGGAACAGAGGGGTGGCCTAGCTAGCACGAGCCACAACACTGGCTGGATTCCTGGGAGGAGTTCCTCGTATAACTTCATGGAGTGATGTGCTCCTGATGACAAAACTTGACACCGTGCAGCCTTGAACTCTTTGAACTCAGAAGAGAGCGTTCAGTCTGGGACCTGCAGCATGGTTCGCCTGAGAGAAGCCCATGAATGTGTTGTAGTTAACAAGCTAGTTGTGTTATTAAATAAAACGTTGTGACTGTGATGCTGCTCATTTTGCAATCTGAATCTCACCGTTCAATTCCCCTTCATGTTGTGTTCATGCAAAGGCTGATAGATGGCGTCTGTGTTTATCTATACAGCAGTGTGCTACTGTCTGCGTTTTTTGATTGTCAGAGGAACATGTCTAGTTCAAATCCAGTGCGTCACAAAGATATTATTGCAGTTTCAGCATGCAATCACAAAGTATTGCCATAGCCAAACTATCATTCTCTATGAGAGAGAGAGAGAGAGAGAGAGAGAGGGACACTTTTGCCTCTGGGACTGAGAATTCACATTATCATGTTTGATGTGAGGGACACTTTTGTTTGCATCCAATCCAATGAGATGAATAATATATCCTCCCCCCACAACTTGGCGAATCTTTCAGCTTCCATTCTTCTGCGTCTGCAGGTATGTTGCTGCACTGAAAATTAAGAGTCAAAAGCAGGACTTCTGCTACCACTTCATGCCCATACCGTCAGGCAGCATGGGCAAGACTGATTTCAGTGAACCATTCATAGGACACATAAAATTCACTATATTTATTATAGCCTGGAATCTAGCTCTATGCTGACACTGAACAGATTAGCATTACACGTGCAAACATAAGCAGCCGAAATTCACTCCAGCAGATCGGCAGTGTTCTCCCTTTGCTTGATCAGATGCTGCTGCACGGCACGAATTTCAGTTCGCGTTTTGCAGCAGGCATCTAGTCTCCTCCACAGACCTTGTTCATCTTCAGCAAGGTTGAAAGAACTCTGTCCATGTCAGGCCGGTCCACCGGCTCGAACGCGGCGCACGACACGCCCAGGCTCAGCACGTCCGCCGCCGTGGACAGGTCGCCCTCGGTGACCACCTTCATGTCGGGGTCCAGGACGTCGAGCACCCCGTCGAGGCCCCTCGAGACCGCGTTGTCCACGTACTGCTGCAGTGTCAGTGGCACGCCATCCTCCTCGATTGTCCCGGTCGGGCGTCGCTTGGTGAAGAGTTCCATCATCAGGACGCCAAAGCTGAACACGTCGGCCTTCGGCGACACCGTCCTCATGTACGCGAATTCTGCGTGATTGGATTGGACACACAGAAAAAAAAAACATTTTTAGCAGAAGTGCCAAGAAATTTGCAGAAATAGCCACCAGAAATTGAGCTAGAGCACCATGTAGATTACCTGGCGCCATGTACCCGATGGTGCCCCGGAACGCCGACGACGTCGCCGACTGCGCGGCGGCGTCCGTCAGATGGACGCCCAGCATCCTCGCCGTGCCGAAGTCGCTGACGCGCGCCTCCCAGTCGCTGTCCAGGAGAACGTTCGACGGTTTGACGTCGCAGTGCACGACGGGGAAATCGTACCCGGTGTGCAGGTACACCAGCCCGTGCGCTACCGAGACGCACGCGCGTAGCCGCTCCGGGACCGTCCACCGCTGCGCGTCCCTGCCCGCGCCGTGTAGCGCGCCGTCGAGGTCTCCGTTGTCCATGAACTCCAGGACCAGAGCCTTGATCTTGCCAGGCTCGCACGCGTACCCGATCACGCGCGCCAGGTTCTTGTGCCTCAGGCGGCTCAGAGTGGCGAGCTCGGTGAGGAAGCACTTGTCGGACTTGGCCGGGAACTGCGCCAGGTTGAGCCGCTTCACGGCGACCACCTTGCCGTCGGGATCAACGAGCACGCCCTTGTAGACCGTGCTCAGGTTGCTGCTACCGATGACGTTGCCTTCGCCGAACGAGCCGGTGGCAGCCTCCAGCTCGCTGTAAGTGAACTTCCTCAGCTCCGGCACGACGAAGTCCTCGGAGAAACTCGTTGCACGGGTAGAGTCTCCCTTCTTCTTCTTGTACCTCCGGTATCCAAGAAAGAGAATCGCCACAAGCAGCAATAGCAACAGCACGGCCAGCACCAGCAGCACCACTAGGACCACGAGCCCTGTCCTCGAGAACCCCTGCTTTCCGGCGTGGTGGCAGGGAGCGAGAAGCTTCCAGCCGCAGAGGCCAGCATTGCCCTGCAGGCTCGACATGCTCAGGTTCTGGAACACGCCTGAGTCCGGCACGGGCCCCTCGAGTAGGTTGGACGAGAGGTTCAGAGACCTCAGACTTGTCAGGTTCGCCAGCGCCGCCGGTATGACCCCGGTGAACGCGTTCCGTGACGCGTCCAGCGTCTGTATGTTCTTCAGGGCACCGATGTTTGAAGGGATGTCTCCGTCTAGCCCGTTGCCGGAGATGTTCAGGCTTGTGAGGACGTCGAGCTGAGGGAAGAGGCCGGCAGGCAGGGCACCGGTGAGGTTGTTGGCGGAGAGGTCGAGCGAGTAGAGGTTCTTGCACCCGGCTAGCGTCGCCGGGACACCACCGGATAACCGGTTGTTGGACAGATCGATGGACTGGACCATCGTGAGGCCGCCCATCTCGGCCGGTATCGGGCCCGTGAACATGTTGTTCGACAGGTTGAGGTACATCTGCAGGGTGCTCAATTTCGCGATCACCGCGCCGAGGATGGCGCCGGCGAGGCGGTTGTGGGAGAGGTCCAGCGTGAGGAGTTGGTCGAGGCTTCCCACCGCCGCAGGGACCGTGCCGTTCAGCGCATTGTTCGACATGTCGAGGAAGGAGAGAGACCGCAGGTTGGACACGGCGTCGGGGATCGGGCCTACGAACCTGTTCGACGCGACGCTGAGGATAGTGAGCTGCCGGAGGCCGAAGATCTCGTCTGGCAGCGCGCCGTCTAGGCGGTTCTGCTGCAGCGTGAGCTTCTGCAGGGACGACATGTTGGAGACGCTCGCTGGGACGCGCCCGGCAAAGCGGTTTCCCCCGAGCTGCAGTGCGATGAGCTTCGTCAGGTTGCCGATCTCCTCTGGTATCTCCCCGGACAGAGCATTACCCTGCAACTGCAGCAAGCTGAGCTCGCTGAGCCTGCCGACGCGAGGGCTCAGGCTACCGGTGAGGCTGTTCCCAGCCAGGTATAACGTCCTGAGGTTGCCGCAGTCGAAAACGTCCTCCGGTATGTCGCCGGACAGCTTGTTGTCCCACAAGGACAAGAATTCGAGGTTCTGTAGCTGGCCAAGGCTGGCGGGCAAAGGCCCGGAGAACTCGTTGAACCCCATGCTCGCGTTATACAGCGAAGTGCAGTTGGCAATGCTCGCCGGAATTGGACCAGAGAGCGAGTTGGTGTTAATGACTAGCACTTGAAGATTCTGGAGTGATCCAATGTTCGCCGGAAGAGGGCCCGAGAGGGAATTTTCACTGAAACTCAGGTATGTAAGGTTGACGAGATCCATCAGCGATGCTGGCACTGTTCCGGTGAGCTTGTTGACGTGGAGCATCAGTTTTCGAAGCGACCGTAGCTTGCCGAGCTCGGTCGGGATGGACCCAGTGAGCTGGTTCATGGACAGCTCGAGCGAAAGCAGCGACGTGCATCTCCCGAGCGAGAGGGGAATCTCCGACGAGAGCGCGTTGCCGTACAAGAGCAGCACCTTCAGGTTGGTGAGTTCCCCGAGCTCGCTTGGAATCGCACCAGTGAGGCGGTTGCTGTACATGTTGAGCGTGGTCAGGTTCTTGCACCGGCCAAGTTCCGGCGGGATGGAGCCGGAGAACTGGTTCTCAAACATGTGGACAATGTTGAGACTCGAGAAGTTGCCAATCCCCGGCGGGATCGGGCCGGAGAGCTGGTTGCTGCTGAGGTCCAACTTCTCCAGCTGCGTGAGCTTCGCGAAGGACGGCGGCAGCTCGCCGTCAAGATTGTTGAGGGAGAGTATCAACTCGTTGAGATTGACCAGATCACCAATGCAGTCAGGGACTGCGCCGGTGAGGTCGTTGTTGAAGACGCTGAACCCTGTCATCGCCGAGCAGTTGCAGAGGCGGCTTGGGATGCCACCGCGGAGCGTGTTGTTGCTGAGGTCCAGCACCTGTAGGCTCCTGAGGTCGCCGAGCTCCGGAGGGATGGCGCCGGTGAAGTTGTTGACGCCGAGGCCGAGTTCCTCGAGCTCGTCGAGGTGGCCGAGCTGCGGCGGGATGCCACCGCCAAAGCGGTTCGACGTGAGGTCGAGGAGCTGGAGCGTCGAGATGTTGCCCAAGAACGGCGTGAGCGTGCCCCGGAGCCCAGTCTCCGCGAGCTCGATGGACGTGACGTGGCCAGCGGCGTCGCAGGCCACGCCGGTCCAATTGCAGTGCGGCGGGAAGCCGCCGCCGCCATTATTGCCTGTCCCCACCGTCCAGCTGGACAGCGTGCCGTTCGGGTCGTCGGTGACGGCCTTCTTGAACGCCAGCAACGCCTCGAGATGCACGGACACGGACGGATCGGGGACGGCGGCCGCCGCCGGCCCCGCCAAGACCAGGACCGCTAGAGCTAGCACCGCAGTGAAATTTGACACTGGAGTGTAAAAGCAAGTGTTCTTGCAGGATGCCATTCCACTTGCAATTTTACTATCTCCAAGGCACCATGTGATCGAATGTGGACTCTGACGAGTGACAAGCTTATAAAGACGAGCGCGGAGGCCGTGCCATAGCCATCGTCTGTGAAGTGAAGTCAATGCATTTCCCAGCGGCGTCAACGCGCGACGGAAGAGGGCGGTTTGACTTGGCATGTGGCGGGAATTATGCGAGAGAGGGGAGGACGGGAGGGACCATGCGGTACGGACGAGGCGACTGATGCAGACATGCCATGCAGTCGTCGACTCGTCGGACCCCGCGGTACTGTGATTGCTGTACAGGAATTCAGATACGGCTGCCGTGCCGACATGCGTGATCATGGCCTCGACGGCTCGACGTGAATGGATACCGGAAAAACGCCGAAATTTCCTGCCCAACACAGAAACACTCCGGCGTGCCGCAGCGCCGCTTTCTGGACAAGCCAGCCACGGAGATCGAAGAGATGAGATGAGGCTTCACCGTTTCGCTGTGTCTGCAAAAGTTCAGTTCTGTCAGTTCATCTTTGCGTTTGGGGGGTTTTGAGTTCAGACTTCAGATTCAGGAAAATGTTAGGATATGATATCGGCATATCGCCAAGTTCTGAACATTTCCGGTATCAGTGAAACAACAGTCGGGAGTTATTGGATGGAATTGCTTAGTTGCTTGCAGGAAACAGGATACCTTGCCTCTGAATCTGAAGGTCTCCTGCTGGTTAAAAACGATGGTCATACTTGCGAGAGAATTGTTTCTGAATGGCGAATGCGGCGTGTTTGCTTTCTTGCTTTGTCGCAAAGCATGGATCACTCTGACCTCTTTTCTATAAGAAACAATTTCATGGGTGTATAACACGGAATCTATACATGTTTGGTCGGTAATCAGTAGGAGCAAAATGCATCTTCTCATCTATCTAGGTCGCAGGGAAGACTTCGCAAAGATACAAGGACAAGAAGGCCCGCCTGGATATGCAGCATCACTTGTTGGACCATTCAGAAGCACGTACTCATGCTTGGCTAGCTAGAAACCAGGGCGATGGGCAAACTGGGCCCATGCATGGTCAGCACCAACTTGCCGATGGGGACGAATGCAAGTTGGCTTCCACTGAAGACATCGTTTATCGGTTATCATTGAACTGAATAACAATTGTTACAAGTCTTACAAGTAGTATATTGTTTTGGTCGGTCTAAAAAAACCAGGGCGATAGCCAAGCATGGTTTGTCAAAAGATCTCCTTGGTATTGAAAACTCATGGTATTCGCTGATTCTCTCCACTATGGATCTCACGTATAAACAAGAAAAGCGTCCCGTGATCATAGCAGCAGCACCTGACAGATATCGCGAGCAGCTAGTAGTGGAGGCAAGCACTGCCCCCCACCAGTGGCACTGAAGACGCACGAGCTGAAAAGCCAGCTCAAAACACGGGCTCCGTTCAGACTTGAACAAAGCGGAAGCGTGCGGCTGGTGATGGTGCATGCACGGTAGGAGGATCAGACAAGGCGGCAAGGACGGGCGCGCGCAGTGCGTGCGTGGATTTTCGTCTCCAGCGACGCCACGGCGCGGCGCGGCAGGGGACATGGGGAATCGCTTTGGCGTTGGCATGCGGGCGCGGTCCCAAGTTGCTGGACGCTGCAAGTTCGGCGCAGGGCTAGCTAGCTGGACTGCTGGAGTGGAGATGAGGTGTGAGAAGCGGAGAAGGCGCAGGGCAGGCAGCCACGTTGTCGTTCCTGGCCCCGGTCCCGTGCCGGGTTGGACACGAGGGAACGGCCGAAAGGAAGAGGCACAACCCAGTGGCGGCCGCTGACTGGAGGTTTGGGGCGCTGCCTGCGTACGCGGGCCACGGTTCCGGGGCAGGGGTCGCGTGGATGGAATGGAACTGGCACGTACGACCACGATCCCTACCGCTCATTCAGAGCGAAGACCTGCCACCCTCCGGTCGTCGGGCCCAAAACCTGATGATGATGATTGGATTCCTTCAGGACGTTGGAGGCGGACAGACGAATCCCATGCGCGACCTCGTGTCGGTTTCTGAAACGTGACGTTTAACATTGAACCTCCTCGCAAAAGAAAAAGAAACCACAAGATGCCGTCCATGCTCCATCCATGATATGATGATGAGGAAATGCTAGTGCTAGACATCAAATCAAAGTTGAACGGAAGGCTCTCTCGTTGACACAGGCTGCCAGATGCCGTGCATGATCCATCCATCCATAAAACCTGCGGCATCCGCAAAACTCGGCCCGTGGTGCTGACAGCCCGCGTCAGTCATCACCCACGTGCGCGAGTAGCATGGGCTCATGTTAGCGGGCCGGTGGGTGCGGTACGAATATCAACCCAAAAGGCTTTTAGCCCAAGAGAAGAGAAAACCTAAAGAGAACGGCCGCCGAGTCGCCGACCAGACCAAAAGGTTTGGGTCATGATCCGTGGACCGTGGGTAGGCCCTTTCCTTCCGCGTGCCACTGCCACTGCCACGCGCTGCGCCTGCGCGTGCACATTTCGTGCGATCCAGCAGTTGGCTGCCTCTCCTCGTCCGTGCCGGCTGCCGACTGCCGAGGCAGATTCCGCGACGGGAGCGAGCAGGACACACGACACATGGCCCCGCCGCTCCGGCCTCCCGTCGTGCGTGCCCATGCCTTGCGTATTGCCTGTATTGCGTTCGCGTCCCGAGTCGGGACGGCCGACGGTGGCCCTGCCCGGCTGCCCCAGCCCCCAGGCGCCACGCCACGGGATGGGACGAGACACACATGGCATCTGGCAATCTGGCGCCGATGCAGTCCCCTTCCCCTTGTCAGATGCCACGCCATCGCCAGACTGCCAGTTCCAGTAGCTGCCGCGCGGCTCGCTGGCTGATCGATGCCTCAGATCAGGGTCGTCGTCACTCGTCACTCCTCACACTGGGCCGCGTTTAGTTCGGCCGAATTGGCGCCGGCCGAATCACTGTACCAACACTAACACTGTAGCTACAGTACTGCTTTGTTTTTATTTGATAATAATTGTTCGATCGTTGACTAATTAGGCTTAAAACGTTCGTCTCGCAAAGAACAACCAAACTGTGCAATTAGTTTTTTATTTCGTCAACATTTAGTACTCAATACATGTACCGCAAGTTTGATGTGACGGAGAATATTCTTTTTGTATAGTGCCAAAATTTGGAATCGGTAGGAACTAAGGCCTAGGCATAGTACTGTACTCCTACTGCACCCGGCGACCTGCACACTTCCGTGCTGGCAGTGTAGCGGCAGTATACTTTGAGGTGGCGCACTGGTGCTGGTGCAGTGGTGCTTGCCGCTGGCGCTTTTGGTGCGCGGTGACGCCGTTGCTGGCGCCGCTGGCCCGCCGCAGTGTTGGTGAGCGGCGTGTGCAACTGCAGCTGCACACCAGCGCCGCATTTGTTTAGGTTTGTTTGGCTAATAAAACATAACTAAAAGTACTGTTAATTAATTTGATGTGAGAGAAAAATTATATTCATTGAATGAAAAAAATACGGCTTAAGTGAACAAGGCACAGAGCGCAGCGGCGCCATGCCTTGGCGACGTGCGGCAGGGACGAGCGACCGGCTCCGTGCCGTGCTGATGTGATCACGGGACGGGCTCAACCACCCAGCTTTTCGACAGGTGACGGCGGAGTACTTATACAGTACTAGTATATCTGTGAACCACTCCGCTCCGGTATGCCCAACAACACCGTCGACGTGTGCATACCAGCGGCAGCGGCGCCGGAGCCGTCAATTCACGTATACGTCAGACACTCAGACTCCACAGTTAGGTGCTATTTTAGTAAAACCGGATTCTCCGTTGCCTACCTTCTCCTTAAACAATGCCAAAATCGACATCTTGGGTGAGTTGTTACAATTGCAACTTGCAAGCTCTACAATGTGCATCCCGTGCTTGAACAAGGTTATAGGAATTAGGAACATGACACTAGGAGGCAGTGAGCGTCAAGTCCCGAGACTCCGAGAGATCCCGATGTTTGTTTCAGTTGTTCAACTCAACATATCCATTTGAAACATTTCAAATCGAATTAAGCAGACACACACAGGAAAGATATTGTAATCCTGTCAGGACGGAACGGAACGTTTTGCATTTTAAAAACCTTTCGAGCAGCAAGCTGCAGCTCAGTGCGGGCAGGACGCACAGCCCGGAATCTGCACGGATCACGAGGCCTCTATTCGAGTACCAACCCATTTCTCCTTCGAGCAGCAGGGCAGGGTAGTTGATCCTATTCCGTCGTACTGCCAAGGACGAAGAAAACCTTGTGACGAGTCGTGTCTCTTCTACAGTCAATCTACTGGAGTAAACATCACTCAACTTCAGCTGAAGTGATTGACATTCATACAGTATTGATTAGTGCTTGGTTTTGGAACAGAAGATGTGCTGTTCAAAGTGTAGGAGTAGCACGTAGCATGATGATTGATCTCAGGGGAGGATCAGAGTTACAGTTCGGAGTGGCAATTCAGATCTCACCAAAGTTTCTCTGGAATTTATCTGTTTCAGATCCTAAAAACTGGACTAATATTGGCGCTATATTACAACGATCGCAAGGAAGGAGAGAATTAATAAGGAGAAGAGAAACAACAAACAGTTTGAGACAAGGAGAATCCGATGCATTATTGCCAGCGTGGCCGCTGCCTAATCCTGTGGATCTCTCAGCACCATGGCCAGCTTCTCCGGCCTGTTCCTGCGGCCTGCTGCGACGTCCCTCTCCCTGTCGGCCTTCTTCTCCTTGGCCGGCGACGACGGCATGAACAGGTGGCCGAAGCCGAAGACGTTGATCACCGGATCCACGCGCACATTGGCCGAGTAGGACCGCTCCATGCCCCTGGGCCGCGGCCGGCGCGGGCCGATGCCCGCCGACGCCGGCGTGCTCGAGCAGCGCTCCAGGCCGCGGAACACCACGCGGCCGGACGCGCTCACGCGCGGGCTCTCCGCCGCCACCGCGGGCCGGGACGACGGACGAGAGGGCCCGCGCGGCCGCCACGAGCCCGCGCCTGGGCGTGGGTTCCTGCAGGAGTCCGAGGAGGACGCCGAGGACGAGGACGAGGCTCGTGTCAGGAGCAGGTGCGCGCTCGCCGCCGCCTGCTCCTGCCGCTTCGGACGCGGCGGCGCGTCCGCGGCGGCAGCGCCGACCTTGTCGCCGCCCGTAGATCTTGTCCTGGACATGAGGTGGAGGAGGTTTGCCACGGGCGCCGACCGCGTCCGCAGCGGGGAACACGACGACGACGGCGGCGGGCGGCGCGCGTTCTTGCCCGAGTCGACCGAGGACGCCGACGAGGACGACGGGGAGTCCCGCGAGAGGAGCGGCCGGAAATGCGCCTCCCGTCGCGCCTGCAGATACCCATCCGCCGCACACTTGCTGGCGTCGCCGCCGCCGCCGGCGCTGGCAGCCTTGGGTTTCCTGGAGCTGGACACGAGGAGGAGGAGGTCGCGCCACCTCCGCCCAGTGCATCGCGGGGCGCGAGGGGACGTCGGCTCTGACGCCGGCTCCACCTCCAGGCACGGCGGAGGGGAGCAGGGCGCAGATGCGGGCGCGGGTCGGTGTAAAGGCACGAGCTTCCCGCCGGAGAAGAGCTCGTCGGCAGCCGAGAGCGCTGCCGCGGCGGCTGGCACGACGTGGAATTCGAACTCGTCGACGTCAGCCTCAACCGGAGCCGCTGTCGCCACGGGGCAGTGGAACGTGAAGGGATCCGGCGAGGTCACCGCTGCGGCTGCCATTGCCGGGGGTGGCGGGGCATGAACGCGTGAGGTGAGGTGGCGAGCGGCAACTTTAAACTCGCGCGAGAGGCAGAGACGAGGAGAAGGAGAGCAGTTGGTTTTGGTTCGGCGGCGGCGGTGGCCGGTGGCGAGCCAGCGCGGAGTAGTTAGCTCCACCGTGTCACGGAAAGTTCCCAAGATATATGGGCGGCGGTGGCCTGGCGGACAACCCGAACCCGGGAACAGAGTATACGAGGCAACGGGCAACGAATCAAATGCTGCCCGGCGCCATTAGGCTGCGTGCTGTGAGTCAGGTCGAAAACGGACGGAAATGGACGGGAAAACATCTTCTTGTTTTCGTTTCATATATTTCATCGTCGGAAATGAGCTCGGGATCGTAAAGACCGAGATCGGGTGCGGAGCGGAAAATAGGGGTGTTCCGAAACGGATAAATATGGGCGGAAAAATGACGGAAACGGACGGAAACCGAGAACTTAAGTTAGAACGACGATCACATATCAATATCGTAACACCAGCCGCTGCACAAGTCAATATCATAATTCATATCACATGCTTAATCACATATCAATATGTTGCACAATACACCACCAGTGCTGCGAGTGGCAACCAGTCAAGCACCAGCGCAATGCAGTGCACTACTCACGGCTGGAAAATGACATGTTCGCTTGGCTTATAAGCCATATTTTTCAGCCAACGAACAGTATTTTTCTCTCACAACAAATCAACCAACAATACTTTCAGCCATGACTTATCAGTCAAACGAACATGGCAAAAGGCAATATGCCATGGCTGGTTGATTGATGCCAGCATGCCACTGCTAACACTAACAGCACTAGACCACCAGGCACCAGCATAGTGCACCACACCACCACTGCTAGCAATCATAAAGTATTGTCAAGAATTCAAGGGCACCTTAACCAGGAATATTAGAAAGAGTTAAATGCATAAGAAGTCCATTGACTTGTACGGAGGTTTTGGTTAGGTCCATGAACTTTCAAAGTGACTTTTTGGGTATATAAACTTTGTACGTCATATCACTTAGGTCCATACCTCTTCACGTTGGCTTCTCGTGCTGACGTGGCATGATGCCGTGGCCATGGGGGCGTGCATGCAGGTGTGGAGGAACACCGGCAACTACACGGCCAACAGCACCTACCAGTCCAACCTCGCAAGCTTCGCCACGACGCTCTCTAGGAACGCCTCCTCGTCCCAGACGCTCTTCGACAAGGGCAGCGTCGGCATCCTCCCGGACATCGCAGACGTCTGGGCTGGCGCTCTGCTGGGACGCGCTAACGCCACAAAGATGCGGGTCTGCGTCACCACCACCTCCAGAGCTTGCGCAGCAGCGGTGTGGCGCCGACAAGGACGCCACCGTCTACTACGACGGCGCCGCTACCTCCGCTTCTCCAACATGGACTTCTGGACGACACCACAAAGCAACAACAACGAAGTGATCCTCATGAACTCGCCGAACGCGGATCACCGGTCAAGGTGTTCGACGCCGCCGTCGCGTGCTCCTCAATGCCACCGGCGACTACGGCGGCGAACTCTACCAGTTGTTTCGCCACGGGGGAGGAGAAGTTCAATGCCACCGACCCCACCATCTATGGCCTCACGCAGTGCACGCCGGACATGACGCCGGCCCACTGCCGGCGATGCCTTGGCGATATACTTGGAATCATGTTGCGGTACCTGAGCCGTGGCCGTGAGCCGTGAGCCGCTTGACACGGCCACCATCGCGGAGGCCATCAGCGTCATCTCGTGCTTCTACGAGGACAAGACGGAGTGGCGACGGTGCATCGGGTGGATCTACGGGTCAACGCTCGCGCCTCCTACGTGCTCGCCGGCGATGGCGGCCTGCGCGGCTGCGGCCACGGCGTCTACCTCTTCAACAACCGCTTCTCGGGCGCCATCCCCACCTCCATCGAAGGCTGCGTTGCGCTGCAGGCGTTTGATGCCAGCAACAACCGCTTGATCGGTGCGGGCGTGCAAGCAAGTCCGCCGGGACCACCAGCAGCTCATCATCGGCCCTCGCCCGCCCGCCGAAGTGAGGAGAACTGCTTGTTGTTGGCGACTCCACGTCGGTGACGATCGTGTCGTCCAGATCGCTCGTCGTCATCAGAAGCTTCGTCGACGACGGCACCAGCGTGGCACGACGACGTCGCCCAGGGAATCTGCGCGCGACGCGCGGCCATTGTCCTCGAACGCAGCGTCGCGCCCGACGCGCGCGTCTCCTCCCAGAAGCGAGAGCAAGATTCGAGGTTCCACAAAGACGTCGCCCATGCACCACGGCCGCTCCCGCCCGTAGTCCGCCGAGCACCGCTCCGCCGTCTCCGCAAACTTGCGAAGCGAAGTTCTTCGTTCACCTCCCGAGGATCCACGGGTCGGTGATCGGTCCACCGCCCACGCCTCGCCACCCGACGGCCCACTCGGCGAGGTTGATCTGGTAGCGCTCAGCGCTGGTCGATCACCGCCGCACGCGACAACACCTCGAACAGCACCACCCCAAAGGAGTAGACGTCGGAGGTCCGTCACCATCTGCGTCTTGAAGTACTCCGGGTCCGGTACCCAAAGGCGCCCTTCACGGCCGTGCTCACGTGCGTCTCCCGAATGATGGGTCGATGCGCGCGACGGCCGAAGTCGGCCACCTTGGCGATGAACCCATCGCCGAGGTGGATGTTGGTGGACTTGACATCGCGGTGGATGATGTTCTCGAGTAGCCCATGTGTAGGTAGTGCAGCCTGGCGGCGCCGATACACACCTCCAAATTGCTGCTTCCACGACAATAGCCGCGCCGTCGAGTCTAGTTCAGCCCGCTGGTGCTCGCAGCGTGCCTTTCTCCATGTACTCGTACACCGGGATCATCTCCGCCGCTTTCGTTGCGATGAGTCGATGAGCGACACCGGTGTTGGTGCCCGATGTGGGACGACACCACGATCTCCGTCTAGAACTCCGGCAGGCCCTGCCCGGACGGCGCACGTCGCGCTTCTTCGCCCGCCACGCTGGTGCGATCACGAGCGCGCCGTGGTACACGTTGCCAAGCCGCCCACACCGATGAGGTTGCGCTCATGGAAGTTGTCGGTGGCCGACCTCAGCTCCTTCAGCGGGATGTGGAGCTGCATGCTCACCCTCTGCATCACGCCGGTCGTGCCCTCGCCTGACCGGCTCGACGGCTCGAGCACCCACCCGGAGCTTTCCTACGGCCACAGCAGCGGCTTGCTGCTCTCCTTCTCTAACGGCGTCGGCCACGCCATCCGCCTTTTGTGCCCGTGTGGTAACGGCGGCAGTACTTGCTCGCACGCCCGCATGCCACAGCAGCGGTGGCGGCGGCGCCTGCTCGTGTGCCTGCAGCGGCGGAGGCGTTCCTGGAGAGCGTCGTGGCGAGGCTTGCGAGGTTGGACTGGTAGGTGTTGTTGGCCGTGTAGTTGCCGGTGTTCCCCCACACCTGCATGCACGCCCGCATGGCCACGGCATCATGTCACATCAGCACGAGAAGGCAACATGGAGAGATATGGACCTAAGTGATACGACGTACAAAGTTTATGGACCCAAAAAGCCACTTTGGAAGTTGATAGACCTAACCGAAACCTCCTTACAAGTTAATGGACCTTTGGTGCATTTAACTCTATTAAAAATGACCAAGCAACATTTAATAAGTTCACAAATCACAGTCACAACCACAAGAAAACATCCAGTACAATAGTCCGCAACATTTAATAAGTCCACACATCACAAAGTGTCGGTGCAGAAAGTGATCAACACGTAAATATTTGTAGTTTTGCCGTACGTTGTGATCGGAGGTGGCCTAGCACTCAATGACACATGATTTATACTGGTTCAGGCAACATGCCCTACGTCTAGTTTGAGTCGGTCGGTGACTTTATTCCTGAGTTCAGGTGCTCGAAGTTTGCAGTGGGGTTACAAATGAGAAGGAGAAAGATGGGGGGTACGAGAGGTCGAGGTCCGGTTGGACTCTGGTCAGAGGGGCCGAGAGTGACGGGAGCTCCGCTACGTGCTAAGTGAACTTGATCGATCTGATTGAATCTACCTATTGGGAGAGAGTGCATCCCCTTTTATAGATGAAGGGGATGACCTTCCAAGTGAGAGAGAGAGAGAGTACATATGCTACTAAGTCTTGTTGCCACGCCGGTGGGTACAGGATGATGGTAGGCGCCCACAATACTATTGAATGTCAGATGCACGTGGGAGGTTGTGTTGTCCTCTTTAGGTATGGCAGACGTCGGCGCCTGCCACACGGTTGATACCCGGAGGCATGCAAGGGGTTTTACCATGTTCCCCTGGTACGGTGAATGCCGGCGCCTACAACACTGTTGATGTCCAGATGTATGTGGGGGAGCCTTGCCGTATTTGTCTGGTATGGGAGTTAATGGCGCCCACAACACTGTAGGGGAAAATATCGGCGCCTACAACACTGCTTGAGTTCTGTCATGCCAGGAGATTCGCAGGGTATTGCCTGGCACGTGCACAGGGTACGGTCCCTGGTATTACGGTTTGATTTGTGCGCCCTGCCTTACTTTCTTCGTTCATTCCCTTGTCCTTACAGAGCGGGCATCCCCGGTCGGTTAGTCCCAGTCGGCCCTGAATGCGATAGTTGGAGAAGAGCAGTGAGCAGGTGTTTGGTGCATCCCCAGTCGGAGACGCGGGTCGGAGTCGGAAGTAGTGCTTTGGCCAGGCCGTCCGGAAGGCGGGTTGGAGACCGAAGTGAGCGCTCCGGTCGGAGAGGCGGTCGAGTCGAAGTCGGAAGCGGGCGTCGTTCTCCCTCGGCCAGGCCTTCTAGACGGAGATTGGATCGTCCTTCTGGCCTGTCGTCTAGGTATTTGGGCCAGCCCATGAGTTGCGCGTTGCTCGCAACGTTGTCCGTTGGGCCGAGCCTTTGTTGGGAAGTCGGTCCATGAGGGACTCCGGGTTTATGAACCCGACACAAAGTTTCTACCACAAGGAAACAAAGCTATGCGGTCACAGCTCATCACCATCTTCAATTATGTCATCTGGATCACTTATCATATCTTTTTTCTACAATTTTTAGCACATATGTACTCATGATTAATTGCAAACATGTAGCTATGTTATTTTTCTCTTGCAAGAATGGTTACTGAAACAACAACCAAGACAAATAAATAAATACCTTATCATCTGTTGGGTGACTAGAGCTCACAGGAATAGTTCTGGTGGTTTGAAATCAGCCACAATTGAAGGAATAGATTTAGAATCTGAAAAATGACAAGTCAAGGCACATATGAATCAGTACAGTACAGTACATCACATATATTTGGAAAATTCTAATTGAACAAATGAGCTAATTAATACCTTTTCTTGCAGCATGTACCCAGTCTTGGGTGCAGATCAGCTCTTGTACTATCTCAAGGTCAAGACGATTATGATATGGATCAATTATCCGGCCAGCTTCGCTAAATGCAGATTCGGATGCAACCGTGGACACTTGAATGGCCATCATATCACGAACTATTTGTGAAAGGATAGGGTATTTGTCTATATTGTTCTTTCAATATGATAAAATATCAAACGGATTTTGCTTCAATAGTGGCTCTGCCATGCATTTGTCTAGCTCATTTGTGTCCCTGCTATCAAGCCCATGATCATCATATAATAAGCTGTCAAGTTCATCATCTCTATTTTTAGCTAGAGGATCCGTTGGACTAAGATGTTCATTTTGATTCACATCACTCTTATTCTCTGAACTAGAGCTAGCATAAAATTGGTACAAGTTCTTCACAACAGTAAGAAACTCATCGAGATGAACCTGATAGTAGTCACCATAAAACTTTCTCATGTAGCACTCTAAAAGCTTCTTTTTGCACCTAGGATCAAGAAAGCAAGCTACTACAAGACTCATGCCAGAACAGGTCCAATACTTTTCAAACTTTTCACTCATAGCAATGGCCATTTTCTTAATAGTGAAGTATGCACTAAGACACCAATTATCAAGCAACTCCTTTATCTCACAAAAACCTCTATAGAATAGATTTGCAGTAGGATATGATGTACCAGAAAGCAATACAATAAGGTCATAGAACTTTTTCAAGCACTTGAAATCAGTTGTAGCCTTCGACTAGAAGATGGTGGCGGTGGTGGCGCCGGCAGGAACATGGTGCCCAGCCTCAAGTATTTCTCGGGCGGCATGGAGGCGGACCCGAGACACGAGTCACGCGACATCAGGAGGAGGAGGCAACCGTCGGGCGGCGGGGGGCCATGGGGAACGACTGGCGATGGGGGGCGCGGGGACTGACATGCGGCGGGGGCCGCGGGGATCATCCGCCGACAGTGGCTGCTGGGGTCGTTGGGGTGCCGCGTCGGGTACTCAGGGCTCAGGCTACAGCGGGGGTCGAGGTGGCGGCCGTGAGGAGACTCGAGAGTCGAGACAAAGGAGTGAGGAGAGGTAGGGTTAGAAGTGTTAGATTAGATGGGCCTTTACTATTGTTATTGGGCTTCACCCGTATTTGAAGAATCCGGGTCAAATCCGGATCTTTTCCGCCCAAATACGGGAACCCGAGAAAACGGGCGGGAAAAGAGCTCTCCCGTTTCCGTCCCGATCCCGCCGACTTCCATCCCCCATCCCGTCCCATTTTCGGTTTTTCCGAGAATATGGAAACGGGCGGATCAAACGTAGAAATCCGGCACCTGAGTTGTGAGCTTGCTTGCCGAGCGATAAGCCCAAAAACCGATAGGGTACGGTGATGGATGATGCCCGCAGTGTGCCGAATCGAACAGCGATCCACTGATCCAGCATCGGATTACAGCTTGCGCGTTTGCGTCTCAGTTATTAGTGCGAACAGGACGCTGCTGACTCGCTCTGATTGTCATTACTCCTCTTACTCACTACAGTACAAGAGCGGGTCAATTAGACAATTACTGCTTAGTGTTGACATTTCAGAATATTCATTCAGATCAGGAAAACGATCGACTTTCCTTTATTTATTTATAGTTTTAATTTAGCGGGTGTCTGATGCCCTCGTGTTGATCCTCTGTTTTACAGTTTTAAGTGTGTGACTGCGCCATGATTTTTGGTCGAGTGATGGAAATGCGACTCTGACGAACAGCATGCTGCTGCACACTGTCATGTGAGCTGCGCGGCACGCAGAGGACAAACATTCCGGTTAGTTAGGGTGGTGGGGGAGCGCACCAATCATCAAGACAGATGATACATCTCGTCGGCCCGATTACATGGGAATCGCACATGAGTTTCGGTTGCCTAAACCGCGCGCTCTGCAGGATTTAATTCAGTGAGCCCATACTCATTAGACTAGTAGGAGTACTACTACTGAACACTAATCTCCATCACATAAACTTGATTTGATCATGTAGTAATACTCAATGCATTTCGCGGCGAAAATTTGTCCTCGCGGAAAATTCAGAGCGTATATGGATTGACCAGCATCTTTCTGACGCAACGCAGGAGACAGTCAATAAACACGTACGTTGCAGTTTGTTTGGCAGAACAATAAAGAAGACGACTGCTTCAGCTCGTACTCTTGCGCTACACGACTGGGACACCCGCGGATGTGTTTTGCAGAAAATTCAGATGAAGAAACGGCCGTCTGAGTTCCAAAATAATCAAGAAGTTGCTTCCAATTTGGTTACTTTGTGGACAGTTACAATAATCTACTAGCATAATGAGATTGGCCCGCCTATCTCCTCTCATCGATCGGCTTGGTGCAACAACCTTTGTCAAAGACAAAAGGGAAAGGCATCTAGAGCTACTAGGGATGTCTCCTTTACCTGCCCATCAATCAGAACTACCATACCTACTGAATCTGTCAGGTACAGGCAGCAACATTAGAGAAACGCACTTCTTTGTACCATGTCTCCGAACTCTAACCATCTCTTTTGTCACCGATCGTTTTATCAGCATCAAAAGGGTAACAAAAACTGTACTCACGAGTCACGACGTCCCTTATTCTCTGAATGTCATTCCATGCGGGCACAAATGATCGAAAAGCTCACGTAGAGACAGTGCCCAATTCTGTCATGCACCAGCCCTCTCTGGAGGCAAGGCATGTGAGGGCTATGAGCAAAAAGATGCCCTGCCGTTTGGCACCCTGTGGACTGTGGCCGCCCAGTGGCAACAAACCAAGCTTTTGAGGCGCTTTGGAACATGGCCTAGGAGCTTAGCTGCCTATCAATGGCGACTTTGCTAAAGATTTCTCTCTCTGTTTTCTATCTACCTCACGAAAGGCCGAAAGATAGCAGGGCAGTATATAATGTCATGACGAAGAATGTTGGCGGACAAGGGCAACAGCAATCAGCGAAGGCCCCCCTGCGGCAATCATTTCTACCAGAGTGTTTTCTGATTTCTGTCCCTAAAAAGCAGTGAACTAGTGAACCAGGAATCGAGTATGCACTGAGCCATCCCTTCAGTTTCCTCTTTCTCAGTTCTCACCCTCCCTAATTTATCTCTCTCCCCCTCCCTATTTTGTTAGTTTTTTCTTCAGAAAAATTACTATTCACAGCCATCTGCTCAGTGCAAAAAAAAGTTATTAGCCGTCTAGAGAGGCATGTATTAGTTGGTATGCACATCTCAATAAATGCTATTTAAGCAGTGTTGACAAAAAATTGAAACACTGTATGTAGTATTTATTCTTGATGTCTCTGTGTGGCTAATCTATTTGGTACAACTGCTCTATCATCATTAACTAACAATGATAACCGGATATGTACGCATCCAACTAGAGTGTTGATCAGGCCAACCTTAAACTGAAGAGGACGACAGAACGTGATAGCAAATTCATTTATTTTTTGAGATATATTATTAGATGAATTCAATTTTGTGCCTAAGAGGGCAGAACGGCAGAGTGGCAGACGATTTTTTTGAGCCATAATATAGGAATCGGAAATGTTTGCAGCAGTGCGTCCGACCGTCCGAACGCTGCTTCCCCGACCACAGAAATCACCGTGTCGTCCACTCGCTCCCGCCCACACTGTCCGCTCGCTCCCGCCCATGCCACACGCCTCTACTGCCATCCGCTCCCTCTATCCCCCACACGCGCCCCCATCCCGCTCCACACAGCTCCCCCATCCCGCGCCGCGTTTTCCGCCGTGTCGTGCTCCATCTCCCCCGCGCGCCCCACCCTGCCTCGCGGCCTTTTCCAGTGCGCGGTCTCCATCAGAGCAGTGGGTTCTACACCGGTGAACTTCACGCGCCGACGAGCCTCCATTCCCAAGCAACGAGGAGATGTTGCGTTGAAAGCGCATGTTGCAAATATATGTTTCAGGTGTTTCAGATATTTCAGAGGTATGTTGCAAGTTTTTGTATTGGTGTTACAAAAGTAGATCGGAATGTTGCACATGTTGCAATGACTATGCACGCATGTTTCAAGTGTATGTTCTAAATGTTTCATCTAATAGATGTATGTTGCAAGTGTTTTCATCTAGATGTTGGAAAAGTAGATCTGGATGTTGCATATACATGCATGTTATAAGCGTATGTTTAAGTATTTCAGCTGTTTCCTACGTACTCCCTCCGTCACTGAACAAACGTCGTTCTCGCTTTCCAAGAAATAACTTTAACTAATTTTATATAAAATACTAATATTTATGGTACATAATTAGCCCCGTTCGGCTTGCTGAAACTTAGCCGAATTGGCTGGAAAACACTATTCTGGCTGAATTGTTGTGAGAGTAAAACACTGTTCCGGCTGAAAAAAACAAGCTGAATAGTGCGGATTATAAGGTAAGCCGAACAGGGACTTAATATCATTAGATAGATGGTTGAATCTATTTTCATAATAAATTTATTTGGAGATACAAATGTTGCACACATTTTCTATAGATCAGTCAAACTTACGGCCGCAAAAAAAAAACGACAGTTATTTAGGGATGGAGAAAGTACGGTGTAAGTGTTTCATCTAGATGTTGTATATGTTTACGATGGGTTTCAAGTGTTTTTGTAAGTATGTTTCAGACGTATGTTTTAAGTGTTTCATCTGTCTTCCCTTGTATACTGTAACTGTTGCATATGAATGTTTAAAAATTAAAGTAGATCAGGTGTTACATGGGATACCCGTGAGAAACAGCTGACGGCACAAGCGACGTCTAGGGTGGTGTGGGTCCACTGCTAGAGCGGTGGCTCGTAAGCTAGATGCGCTGAGGTGTTCGCTCGCTGGCTGAGCGGATATCGTTCCATCTAGTCCGTACATGAATGGGTGATTGGGCTTACGTACGTTTGGGCCTCGATGAGTCGATATATCCATGCCGTGCGTATAATTCTGCAGCCCAAGATGATCGCGTAACAATACTTCCAGATAGCAACAACATTCCAGCAATCGTCAGTTGTCACCCATGTTGAAATTTCCTGAAATTCACCCGTACCAAACAATAATAAGGCTGTGTTTAGTTGGGAGAAATTTGAGAATTTGGTTACTGTAGCACTTTCGTTTTTATTTGATAATTATTGTTTAATCATGGACTAATTAGACTCAAAACGTTCGTCTCGCGATTTCCAACCAAACTATGCAATTTGTTTTTTTTCGTCTACATTTAATGCTCCATACACGTATCGCAAGATTCGATGTGGTGGCTACTGTAGCACTTTGTGGGAAATTTTTTGGAACTAAACAAGGACTAATGGGAAAAACAAGTAAGTTTCCAATTTTAAGGTTTGCAATTAGCAAATGTAACAGTTTAAAATTTGAACAACTTGAAGCTTACATAGTCAACACATGTACCTTTTCCTTCTTCTGTTCGCTCAAACACAGGTATCGATCGTTTTTCCGTTGGCACGGGGCTGAACTTTCCGTGCAAGGCAAGCAACAACAATGGTACGGGTAAGTACGGATTGTCAACGCAGTGAATGCCTCCCACCATCCTTCAGGTTCTGGTTAGCATAGCATCGCTGCTGATTTGGGTCAACAGTTGCACGTGTGAGTGACGTTACCTACAAGCAAGGTT